AAATAAATAAAATCTTTAAAAAAAAAAAAAGATGTTGACAGATTTCTACTCTTGTGTGAGTTCATCAACACACAGTGAGTGCTGACCTCTCAACAGAAGGCATTCTACATCCTACTCCATAGAGAACAGAGAATACAAAGAATTGCCATGGAGGCCATCATGTGTCAGACCAGAAGTGAATTACATCATTATACTCACAGCCCATTGGCCAGCTCTCATGCGCATCATCCCACCTGAATGCAAGAGCTGCAGAGAAATAAAGACTTGCTCTGTGCCCAGTTTGGTAAAAACACTCCCAGGGATGTCCCCTGTGTGAGTTCTATGATTTAAATTGAAGGCTGACTTCTGGTTGGACTTCCCACATTCATTACAACCATAGGGTTACTTCCTTGGATATACTTTCTGTCAGGCCAACAGTTCTGAGTTACAGCAAGACGGTTTCACCATCCATCTTTACAGTGTTTCTCTTCTGTGTATTTTCTGATGTGTGGTGAGAGTTGCTTTGTGGCTGAAGGTCTTCCCACATTCATTACATTTATAGGGTTTCTCCCCTGAATGAATCCTCTTATGTTTAGTGAGGGTCGAACTATCATAAAAACATTTTCCACATTCATTACATTCATAGGGCCTCTCTCCTGTGTGTGTTCTCTGATGTACATTGAGGGATGCCCTCTGGCAAAATGTTCTCCTACATTCTTTACATTCAAAGGGCTTCTCCCCTGTATGAATTCTCTGATGTTCAACGAGTTGTGACTTTTGGCAGAATGACTTCCCGCATTTGTTACATTCAAAGGGTTTCTCCCCGGTATGAATTCTCTGATGTTTACTGAGGGTTGACTTCTCAGAAAAGGTTTTCCTACATTCTACACATTCATAAGGTTTCTCCCCTGTATGAGTTCTCTGATGTTTAAGGAGAACTGACTTCCCACAGAAGGTCTTCTTACATTCACTGCATTCATATATCTTCTGCCCTGTGTGAAGTCTTTGATGTTTAATGAGGGTTGACTTCATATGATACATCTTCCCACAGTTGCTACATTCATAGGGCTTCTCCCCTGAGTGTATTCTCTGGTGTACAGTGAGTTTTGACTTTATACTAAAGGACTTGTCACATTTGTTACATTTATAAGGTTTTTCGCCTGTGTGAGAGCTCTGATGCACAGTCAGGTCTGACTTTTGGGAGAAAGATTTTCCACATTCACTACATTTGTAAGGCTTCTCCCCTGTGTGTGTTCTTTGATGCTGATGGAGGGCTGAGTTCTGGTAGAATTTTTTCCCACATTTAGCACATTCATAGGGTCTCTCTCCTGTATGAGTTCTTTGATGTACAGTGAGGGTTGACTTCTGGTAAAAGGATTTCCCACATTCATTACATTTATAGGGTTTTTCTCCTGTGTGTATTCTGTGATGTATTGTGAGGTTTGACTTCCGGAGGAAGGTTTTCCCACATACATCACACTCGTGGTATTTCTCACACTCTTCACCCATGTGAATTCTAGGATGTTTCTTCCAAAGGACTGACTTATCACAGCTTTCCCCACATTCATTAAATTTATAGTGATTCTTCCTTGAGTAAATTATCTGACATAGCATGTGGTTTGACTCACCCCTGAAAGTTTTCTCACATTTATTATAATCACATGATCTCTCTCCTGTGTGAGTTCTGTTATGTGTAATGAAGAGAGCATTATTGTGGAAGGTTTTAATGCATTCATTATATTCAGGCAGTTGCTCCACAGTGTGAATCTTTTGTTGCTGAATAAAATCCTCATTATGATAGAAGATGCTCTCATTTTTATTAAATTCATTAAACTTCTCTCTAGTATGAGTTTTCTCATGATTAATATCAGGAAGCAATTTCTTGTACCCACTGGCATCATCGGATTTCTTTCCTGAGTAGTTTTTATTATTAGTGGTTAACTCCGACGTATTTTCTAAACTGACTCCATCTAGATTATATTTACTGGACATTTTTCTGGAAGGAACAGAGTCTATGTACAGATTAAATGTTTTCCTTAATACATTCTCTTTCTCCGTAATCACTTTTTTGTTATTGATAAATGCATCTTGCCATAAATGTCTGTCTTGGTTTTCTTTGCTCTCTATTATGCCATCAACTTTCAATTCTTCTAGAAATAAGAAAAACATACCTTATGAATCTGAAACTACTTCTAATAAAATTGGGCTAATACACAAATACCCCTTATACACCCAGCTCTTTGGTTTCAGAGACTGTCTTTTGAGATAAAAGTAATACCAAATCAGCATTTTCCATTCCCTCTACTTTTCTGAGGAGCTGGGGGAAAGAGGTGACAACAAACCAACCAATCAAACAAAGCGATGGTGGTGGAAGAGAGGAAAGTAAAATTGGCAATGAACACACATATTTATTTGGTCCTTCACGAATATATATTTCAAAATGGACAGAAGGGGTAAAATAAACACAAAGAATAGAAAATAAAGGATTCAGTAAGAGTGGATGAATCACAATGAGTGGAATTCACAGTAAGATGTACTCAATTAAAAAATTATATAGTAAATGTGACATGGAGAACAGGCAGACAAGATTGTTCTTCCAAAAAACTACCCGAGGAATGAAAGAGTTCAGAGAGAATGAATTAGAATCTAGGTGCTGATTTTGTTAATCCTACCTTCGAGAGATAGCCCGAATTCCATCACTATGCACACTCTATTACCTCAAACCTAGTCTACGGGGTGTCGTTTTTCCTAATTGGTCTCCTTGCTTCTACTCTCAATTCTCATGGCAATCAGCTTCCTGCATCTCTCTCCTGCTAATACAAATTCCATGAGATCAAGGGATTTATTTCATCACTGCTCTATCTCTTTCACTTAAAACATGACTGGCATGGAGCAAATGCTCAATTAATACTGGTTAAACTGATTTATTAATTCCTAAAAACAAAAGAAGTCCTTGAAAATGAAGGGAATACGAAGCTGAGAATGCTAGAGGAAGGAGACTAACCAACATAAAATATTAATATGACATGGGAATGAATTTCAAGGTACAAATAAAAGGGAGTAAACTCTTAAAAAGCCAATTGAAAAAGAGAACATATATGTGTGAGAGTGTATCTTTGGTGAATTTAGGTATGCAGGCTAAGCATCCTTAGTCGCTTCCAAACAGAGCTTCTTAAAAACACTCCAAAGATGCACATACTTGAAACAACCACCTGGGATCTAATTTCCCCTGGATTACTCATCAGGGTAATACTGGCTTGCAAATTCTTTCTCTAACACCCATGGTGCCTTCTTGCTCTAACTTCAAGGTCTCCTCTGGTTTGGTAATGCAATGTCCTGATAATGAAAAATGATAAAGGACATAGGAAAAGCTGCTTGGCTTTAGGAACTCAGAAGAAAAACCAAGGTCCAGCTTCAGGAGCTGCACAGTGAAGGAATCCACTGGAATCTTTCAGTTGGGAAGTGAGAAAACAATATTCCTGGTTGTCCAAACCTAAGTATCATTAAACTCTACAAAAGATCCACATGCTTTGGGGCACCTGGGTGGCTCAGTCGTTAAGTGTCTGCCTTCAGCTCAGGTCATGATCCCAGGGTCCTGGGATCGAACCCCACATGGAGCCCCTGCTTGGCAGGAAGCC